CTTTGTTTTTTGCTTTCAACTGAAGTCCCTCTAAGTAAAATATTAATTTCTGCACTATGCTCAGAAACTGTCTTTCACAGTGAAAATGAGTGCTTTTCTTTCACCACGAATAAACCGATAAACTGTGTTATTCAAATGAAACTTTGTTTGGAGTAATTAATAAAGCATTCGAATTACTATGGGTATATAACATAAATTTTAAACAAAAAATTCCATAGCAAAGAAAGGTGTGGCAGTTTTCTATCTTTGCTAGTATAAAGCTTACATTCTTAGTTTCTCGCATGCTCGATTCGAGAAGCTTTTTGTTTCTATTTCGAAAGTTCATGCAGCGTTCAGTAAATTGGCTAAGAAGTTGGTAAGAAGAAAACACAGTATAGCGAACGTTCTTGAATAAGCACGAGAGAGTTTCACAAATGTTATTGTGTTCTTTAAAACTTTTGAAGAGCATTCGTTGAATTTAGAGTCTATATACCTGAAAACGCTAACAATAACTCAAAGTTTAGATAAGGTTATTAAAAGAAGGAGTAAATATACTTCGAAAGAATTATAGAAAGCTAAGGAAAACAAGAAAAGAAACATTGTATTAGATATCATATTAGATGCATTGGTACTGCCTAGATTCATAAATCAGCAAACTTTCTGTAATTGCATTATTTTCTATATTCTTTTTTTTATTTTTGTGTAGAACGACAAAAATATAGGACGATATATGCTTGTGAAGGAAGAGACTTGAGGATAACGTGTGAAGAAGGACACCTAATAAAACTAATCCGAGCTAACTATGGTCGTTTTAGTATCAGCATTTGTAACGAACAAGGGGCCTTGGATTGGAGTGTCAAATGCACATCCAGAAGATCGTATCACGTAATGCAGGAGAGGTGAGTTTTCTTATGTTTTTATTTAGAAGAGTTAGATTTACGTTACTAAGTCACCAAAGTGAAGAGAATGTGTTCATTATTATTAAAAGCTTTATCCAATGTTATAAATTTAAAATGCGATAAGATATTATCAATTTATATATATACATTAAATAGAAATATATTCTATTAAATATTGTGTTATTATGATTAAAATGAGAAAATATTGAAGGTTAAGAAAAACCTTTGCAGGAGTTATGAAATACTACGTTTTTACACAGGAATATTTGAGTGCAGTGAAGGCTGTATACCTTAGATAAACTAAAATAATGTTAGCTATTTCATGAAGAGTAATAACTGTTGGAAAAAAAAAGTTTGAAAGATTGTGGATTTTTTCCTTGACTTGCTCTTGTGTTATGTCACCTCTTTTCCTGTGAAATGTACACTAAACACGGAAATGCGACCACATCTTTGCAGCGCATTACCTAAGCCTACTAGTTTGTTGCGTATGAAATGCTGCCAATCTCTAATGCGTACATTGTCAGTCAGCTTTAAAGAACAACGTAATGTAAAGAGAGCGCTTGGTAACAGCACAAATTTATCCCTATTTCTGGAACACGAAATATTCTCACATCTATAATCAGTTAAGGAGAATGTCTAAACTGCGCTAAAAGTTTTTTTTCCTTTTATATTTATTAAAATACCTGTCATATTTATCGAAAAGCTCTAATCATAAAAGGAAATTTATTACATGATTTTGTGAACCACCCACTTGAGTTTTGTTTTCAATCTCTTTTTGTATACTTATTTCTTTTTTGAAAGACGAGAAAATTAAATGAAATTTATGTTTGTTAATGATGCTGCTAAGGTGGAAGTATATTTCCACATCATGTATATACGACAGTCTTCATTTCTTACACTATGTATATCTAAGTTAATAACTATTAGAACTCTCGTAACATAAAGAGACTGATACCATACCTTATCTTTATATAAATATTGTTTGATAGATCTTGTCATGCTCTGTTTTATAAAGGTCTTCATTTTATGATAAAGTAAGTACTTAGTATGAATTCATAGAAGAGAAGTCGATATAAACACAGAGTGTGTTATATTAAGACAATTTTGGAACATCACCACGTCTTTACAATCCATGTCGTCACGTCCGATCATGCACTAGCTGACGATTTCGCATCTCTCCTCTCTGCATAGTTCCAATAAGTATTCTAGGGAATGAAGACTGTTGTTTCCCAGCACCCATTTCAACGGTCCGATCGCACAGAAATACATAGACGTTGCGTCCGGTGACTTGAGCGGTATATCTTTGCATACAGTAGCATGAGTACCAGTTTCTTGAGGTATGTGACGGTTGAACGGATATTTCGTGGAACCAGCTTGTGTGCATGTGACTTGTTTTGGTTTTCCAAGATGAAATCCTTCTGGATTATGTTGCGTACTGTTGCTTGGAGCACTTAGAAGGCTTTTAGAACTTACCTGTTACAAGGTACGACGTGTTGCAGGTCACTTTCAGAATGGTCCTGGTGGCCCAAGTTGATTTGTGTTCTTTAAGTAAAACGGATAGCTTTATTTTTGAAATTCCAAATCTCTGATCTGAATACATTTTTACGATCTGAATGAATGAATAAGTCTAGTCAGGAATGTTTTTTACATACCTTTCTCAAAAGTTATCAATCAATTTTTGGTGGTAATATACTATCTACGTAACCAAAACAATGCTAACATGTTGTTCTAATACAGTATGTTCCACCGTGGCTTTAAATCGGCCGTGGTTGTCACACAACTTGCTCATATGCATATTAAAAGTCGTTTTCACACATTACTCAACTCTCTGTACTATAAAAGTGATATGTTAAATACTTAATCTTACCTCAACGGATAGTTCTTCGTTAGTTTTAAAATTCTTCTATTTTTTCAACACAATCACAATGAAGTTAGAATTATGAAAATAGGGAAACCAAAGAAATTACAAAATGATACGAAAAGACGAATAACTTAAACTTTAGAATTAGTGTACTACCAATGTTATGTTTTAAATTGTTTTATACAAGTTATGAGTCATTTTTGTGAACATTAACCTTATGCTTGGAAGCAGCGCAGTGAGTTAAAAACATTCGTACAAAAAACAAACAAACAGCTTTGTTACCCGTTATTATGACAGAGTGAAAAATTAATACAAGTGATGTAATGAAAATATGCTCCAAAAATTCCCATATATGTGTGTGTGTGTGTGTGAAGTTTAGTAACAAATTATAATTATATTATTATTCATATCGTTACTTTTAATCCCAGCTAATCTGTTTTAGAATAAATGATGTAGTTGATTAGCTAATGCTACGTTGTTTAAATGTCATCTTAATTAAAATTGATGATATAACTCTTGATGTAAGATGCAGTAGATTCTAATGCAACTTTTGTCAGTCAGGTTGTGCTGTTTTGGAATCTTAACGAAGAAATAATTTAAATTTTTAAACTTCATTGAAGCCATTTTCAACCATTATCATGGCATTATTTTGAGCGACATCGTGATATGTTAGAATAATGTTTCCAATATAAGTGTTTGTGTACTTCCATAAGGCAATCATATACAGCTTTAAAAAATTTCACTAAAATTATGATTTACACACATTTAAGCGTTTTAAAGTATTGATGACACATTAATGATGTAATGTTTTAACATCATTATATCTTCCAAGACCTGTAATGTATGAACATGACGATGAGTTGTTCGGGCCACGTAGTTTAGAAACAATGATAACTGTTTACTGTATATTGAACACGATGGTAGCTTACTGAACTTTTAATCTTTAAAGATGATGATGACTTGCTAGAGTCATGAAAATTATTATTTATTTACAAGCATTTAAACATGATGATAAGTCGCCAGCAGTTTAACATTTGAACACAATATTTTGGTAATCATAAAACTTAATTATATCTAAGTATTTGGATATACCTGTGGTTACGCAAAGTTTTAAACCATAAAGATGATATTAACATGTTAGTCTTAATGTTTAGTGATGACGAATTTGAATAATCTAAATGTTAGATTCAACCAAAATTCAAAATATTTACATGGCTGAGATTCGCTATTGATTAAAGTTTTAGGTATATAAATATTATGATGACTTGTTATGGTTTGAATAATTAGACGTGAATTTTCGTTTCGAGTTGGGTCTTTAGACATGATAGTATACATTGAACATGTAGACGTGATGATAACTAATAATAGTTTGGGTAAATAGGTAAAAGAGTTGTAATTGAAATATGACCTTAACTTATAGTCTAGGGCCCGGCATGGCCAGGTGGATAAGGCGCTCGACTCACAATCTGAGGGTCGCGGGTTCGAATCCGCATCCCACCAAACATGCTCGCCCTTTCAGCCGTGGGGGCTTATAATGTGACGGTCAATCCCAC